GCATCAGGGGATCCCACAGAAGCTAATTGGGTAGGCGAATCATTCAAACGAGCTCACAAAACCCTCATCGGGAGTGCAAAGGAAATGGTGGCTATGCTCCATGGAGAACAATGGCTGCTTTGGCAGAGACCGGGTTTATCCGGTTTTGTCACTCCCACTTGAGTGCAACCGTAGTCCCATAGCTTTAGAGAATTTCCAGTGTTTTTCATGAGTGAGGGGTTTAGTGAGAATGTCTGCAACCATATCTCCTGTAGGAACGTATCTGATTACTGCCTGTCCCTTTGATACTAAGTCATCTCGGATGAAATGATATTTGCATTGAATATGTTTTGTGCGAGCACGGAACTGCGGATCTCGTGTAAGAATGATAGCTGCTTGATTGTCACAGTGCAATGTTGTCCAATTTCTTCAAAAAATGTCCGAAGCCATGCAAGGTGTTGTCCAGCATTGCTCAATCCAATGTACTCTGACTCCGTGGAGGACAAAGTGACCATGCTTTGTCTTTTGCTTGTCCAGGAGATTGCTCCTCGGATGGTGATAAAGACAAACCCTGATGTTGATCGAGACGTGTCTGGGTCTCCAGACCAATCTGCATCTGAATATCCATAGAAATCCATGTCCATGGAGACATCTGTGCCATCATATCGTAGTTCCATGTCCCTGGTTGCTTTCAGATATCGGAGGACACGTTTTGCAGCTTCCCAGTGATGGAGCTGAGCTATGCCTGCTTAGTATTCCAATGACGTAGGCAATGTCTGGGCGGGTTCCGAGCATGGCATACATGAGGGAGCCTACAATTGAGAGGTATGACACTTGACGCCCTTCAATATGCATCTCGTGTTGCACAATATCTTCCCCTGGAGCATTTGCAAGGAGTTTTGATCCATGGGCCATTGGTGTCCATACTGGTTTGCAGTTCTTCATTCCAGTATGCTCCAGGACTGTGTCAATGTATTGGCGTTGCAATAGGGATATTGTTTTGTTTGAACGATCACATTGGATTTCTATTCCGAGGATGTATTTTGCTTCTCCAAGGTCCCGCATTTTGAATATGGATTCGAGTTTGGCTTTTGTGATATCCATGAATTTTCAGGATGAAGCTCCTAGGAGGAGGTCATCTACATAGACAACAACAAAGCATATTTGTTTGTTGTCCCGGAATACATAGAGACATGTTTCTGCATTTAGTCTTGTGAAACCGAGCTCCTGGAGCTTGTGATCAAAAGTTTTGTTCCATGTACGACCAGCTTGTTTTAACCTATAGATGGATTTCTTCAATCTCCAGCAGTATCCAGGTTGGATAGGAACACCCCCTGGAGGAAGCATGTACAGTTCTTCTTCAAGTTCTCCATTGAGATAAGCTGTGGATACGTCCATTTGATCAAGTTCTAGGTCATACTTTGCTGCCAGGGCTAGAATAATTCAGATTGACTCTAAGTTTGCAACCGGAGCAAAAACCTCCTGGTAATCAATCCCCTCCCTTTGAGTAAAACCTCGTGCAACAATCCGGAGTTTGTATCTCTCAATGTTTCCGTTTTGATCAAACTTGATCCGGAACACAGGTTTTGATGTGATGGGTTTTACTCCCTTCGGAAGTGGAACAGTGTCATATACTGCATTATTATTGAGACTTAGGAGTTCCTCCTCCAAGGCAGACTTCCATAATTCTCCATCCGGACGTGATAAGGCTATTAAGAACAAAGCTTGAAGGAAGTGTCTAGCCACTTGCTGAGAGCAATCAGGGACTGGAACTAGAGTCCAATGTGAGTAACTGTATTATTAGAGAGTATGACAGGTATACAGTACCTAGAGTCCAATGTGAGTAACTAGAGAATAGGAAGCATTGGACTCTGCAGTACTGTCCGAAGTTTTGTAAACAAAGGTAAACAAAGCAGCCACAAAGGCGAAATAATAGAGAACACAATCAATAGTGAATGATAGAAGAATAGATAGAGAAAGGAATGAAAATATATAGGTAGCACAAAGGTGCAGAATCACCAAAACTAACAAAGGCTTCCTCTAGTGTCCTTGGAAGGTCTGTGCTAGATGGACCAGTACTTGCTATTCCAGCAAAGAATGTCTCCTCTGTATCAGATGTTTCTTCATGAACCTCAGGAGTGTTAGGTTTCTCCATGGAGTTGTCATGCTGCTCTTTTCGAGACTGTTCCTCATCTAGAGTCCTTTGATAATCTCGGTTTTTGTCTGCAGGACGGGTCTGGCAACTGCTTCTGCGTACTCCTAGGACTTCAGCAGGCATGACTGCTCTTTTAGGAACTTGTGCAGGTACTCCAGGGAGTAGACGCATTTGTGTATTTGTTGCCCCACTCACTCCTGAAGGTGTTGAATGACTCCTCGGAGGCGTTGGATAACTCCTCGGAGGTGTTGGATGACTCCTTGGAGGTGTTGTATGCCTTCCAGAAGCTGATCCAATGGACAGGCTGTCTAGCTGTATTCGGACTTTTTCCACATCAGCTGGCTGTATGTTGAGGGGCTGTCCTCCCACTGACTGTAACAATAAAAAGAATAAGCTTTTACAAAGCTAAATTTCAATAAAATAATAAAATAAATATTACTAATTTTCCAAACGTTTTTATAATATAATAAAAATAAAATAATAAAATATAAATAGAAAGTTCTTCTTGTAAGGGAATTACTATTATTTTATTTAAACTAATATTTTTATATCTCATAAAATTAGAAGTGATAATAACAATTATCATTAAAATTAAAATACTATTATAAAATGAAGTTTTAAATTAGTATTTATAATATCTATTAATACTTTGGCTTTCTGTTCTGAAGATGGCCAGTGTTCAGGTCTTGGTTGTAGAGACTGTTGTGGAGGGTGTCTTAGCTGATCAGGTGCTCCCACTGCTCTCGGAACGTCTCCACGGAGGTATTGCCCCACTGCTCTTGGAACATCTCCTTGGAGATGTGGTTCCATTTGCAATTCATTTGGATCTTGGATCTGAGGGTCAGGATCATCCTCCTCCAGTGTTTTTTGGTCTGGAATGAGTCCCTCCCACTGATCTGTGCTAGTGTCTGTGTTCCAGGGAGCAGTATCATCTTTTTGTACCTTTCCGGATTCATTGAATATAACATGCCGACTGGAAAACACAGTCCGTTTTTCAGTGTCTAGGAGTTTGTAGGCTTGCTTTCCATGTGTGTAGCCAATCATTATGGCTTTGCGCCCCTTGGAGTGAAACTTCCCTTGCCTTTTGTCTTTTGGAATCAAAGCATATGCTTGGCATCCGAAAGGGCGAAACAAAGTTGGATCAACTCTCCTTTTAAACAGTATTTCATATGGGGTCTTTCCATGGAGTCCTGATGCTGGGCTGCGTGCTGTGATATATGCAGCTGTTTGCATGGCATCTACCCAAAATGACTTTGGGAGCTTGGAATGATGGAGCATAGTGGTTGCTAATGTAGCCAATGTCTGATTCATGCGTTCTGCAATGCCATTTTGTTCCGGAGTATCTGCAGCTGTAGTTTCTTGGATGACACCATCTCCTCGGAGTTGATTTTTGAATGCATTGCCAGTATATTCTCCTCCCCCATCGCTCCAGAGGAATTCTGTGTATAGTGGAGTGAAGTTTTCTTCTCCCAAATGAGTCCGGAAGAATGTTTGGACATCTTCTTTCCATTGCTTGTATCGTTCCAGTGCTTCATTTTTATGTTTTAGGAAATATATCCATGGAAATTTGGAGAAATCATCTACAATAATAATCCAGTACCAAAAACCCTCCCTGGAGGTTGGTTTGATTGGTCCTCCAACATCTGTGTGCACAATTTGTATGGGGTGCTTGGCTTGGTTTCCTCCAGTGGACTTGAAAGGTAATTTCTTCATCTTTCCTAAAGCACAAGGTTCACAAAACTCCGGGGTTCCGGTAAGGGTGTCTATGTCCTGGAGCTGTCCTTTTGTAACCATTTG